ATATATATATATATATACATACATATACATATACATATACATACATATACATATACATATACATATACATATACATATATATATATATACATATATATACATATATATACATATATATATATATATATATACATATATAAAATGTAAACAATACAGAAGCATACTCCTTTAGATAGAAGGTCTGTAAGATGACATGACAAATAAATGTAGGTGTGTTCAAATTTTAGACTTGTACTGTGCATGTGTAGAAAGAGGACAAAGCATTGCTTCTGATCTCATGTGTTCATCATTAGGACGCAGAGCAGAAGACATACATTCATGTCAAAGGCTGTGTGCCGCAGTTTGAGAAATGGCTACAGGACAACCTGACGGTAGTGGCTGGGATCTTCATCGGCGTCGCTCTGCTGCAGGTGAGAACGCCTTCATCTGCATTCGCTGATTGCATCTTCTGTTTCTACTTCATGTTTCTCTCTCTTTTTCCAGATATTTGGAATATGCCTTGCACAAAATTTAATCAGCGATATTGAAGCTGTGAGAGCCAGCTGGTAAGAACACACACCTGCAAACTCACGACACGTTGTCTCTGTTCCTGCTCTACTTTTGCAAACTGCCACCGCAAGCAGCTTTTCTCTTTCACCCTAGTGCTTTGATGCCTGTGCATCTTCTACTTTATTCATAATGCACATTAATGGCTCACTGCTTTAAAACTGTTAATGAATCGGCGTGTTTCTGGAGTTTTATAAACAACCTTTCTGAGTTTGCCGTTTTTGCTTCGAGAAGTGCCTCCATGTGGACAAAACAAGAATCAGACGAAGATGATGTTTGATCGAAACTCTCTCAGCTGTCAATGTGTTGACGGATCACTTGAACAGAAAAATACTGTTAAAATATATAATATTAAGATGAATTACAGTACTGACCTGCATCATATTTGCTGAATGAAATCCAATACTTGTTTCTTACTAATTTGGGGTGCTGATTTAAAAAAAAAATCAAATGTTTTGCTCTAGCATGTAACTTTCTTACAAAATATAATGTGCATTTTGTGCTTTCGACATCCATTTGTTCATCAGCTGAAGAAACGCCACAAAAACAATATATATATATACTGTATATAATTCTGATGAATGATTGAGTATTTGAAATTAAATGAGAATTTAACATTAAATGTCAGTGAAGTCAGTTAAGAGTATTTGAAAATGAAACTTTTGACATTTGTCTTTTGTTATCTTGATAAATGCATTAAAGGAATAGTTCACCCAAAAAACGCAAATTTGCTGAAAATGTCCTCACTATCAGGCCATCCAAGATGTAGATGAGTTTGTTTCTTCATTAGATTTGGAGAAACCTAGCATTCCATCACTTGCTTACCAGTGGATCCTCTCTGTAGTGAATGGGTGCCGTCAGAATGAGAGTCCAAACAGCTGATAAAAACATCACAATAATCCACAAGTGATCCACACCACTCCAGTCCAACAAATAATGTCTTGTGAAGTGAAAAGCTGTGTGTTTATAAGAAACAAATCCATCGTTAAGAAGTTATGTGCTTTATACAAGTCTTATATCCATAATATTGCTTTCTCCAGTGAAAAATGTATCTTGTCTGAATCAGGAGAGAAATATGCTCAGATCAAGCACAGTGTGAAAACATTTCTAAAACAGTATGTGGGTGGATTTTGATGTGAGAGGACAACAGGGGGTGGACTTTTTCACTAGAGGAAGCGTTATTATGGATTATGGACTCATGTTTTGGCCAGAAGCGATGGTTTAAAGTTTAAATGTCTTTAACACACACGCTTCACAAGATTAATTTAACTGATGGACTTGAGTGGTGTGGATTATTGTGACGTTTTGCTCAGTTGTTTGGACTCTCATTCTGACGGCACCCATTCACTATTCCTTTAGGTGATACACATATAACTTGAAATATATGTGGTTTTGTGAAAAAAAAAATGTTGGTGATGGAAATTGTATCGATATTTTTTAACTCTGCATTATCAAATTACTAATATTAGGAATTTTTTTGCAAATCAGCAGAATTGTTTTTCAGGATGCATGGCTGTGTAATCATCATGTATTAGCGCTTTAGAGTTATTATCTCTGGGCTAATATGAATGTGATTTTACTCCTATTTGAACTCCTCACATCACACACACACACACTCCACTCACTTTCCTCCGTGCTCTGTCACATCCACGCCAACTCACCTCACAACTTCACTTCTCCTCGCCCATGCCTTCATCAGGGTGCCGCCCCCCTCTTACGTCGCCTGCCGCCCCCCGTCCCACTACAGCAAGAAAGCCTCTGTGTACTCCTGAGGGAGGTTGGCCTGGTGGGTGTGAAACATGTCTGCTTGTGCTGTGTGTGCTCCCCGTGTTCTCCTAGAATCTAGATCATCAGCGCTCTGCTCTTCCTCCACTGAGGGCTAGTCAGTGTTCTCTCAGTGTTTGTCCTCCTGCCATGACCATAATCATTCATCACTAAGATCAAACCAGTTACACTTTCACATGGTTAGCCATCTTTACATCACACCTGGATGAGATTCTCTGATTTATTTGTTTATTTAATAAAAATAAAATAAATAAATAAATATATATATATATTAATATATATTATTTTATTTTTTTTAGGGTTCAAGATTAATTCACATTAAGAAGGAATAAGAAGAGTAGTTATTACAGAAATAACATACTTTAAAATAATACGCAAAAGTGCAAACTGAAAGGGTTAGTTCACCCAAAAATGAAAATTCTGTCATTAATTACTCACCCTCGTGTTGTTCCAAACCCGTAAGATCTTCGGAACATCGTAATGACGTCATCACGCCGGATCTGGGTCAGCGCCGCCACACGCTCGCATCATGGTACTGTCGTGAACGCGCGTCCACAGTAGAGACGAAAATGTGGAATAAAGTCGTTATTTTTGTTTTCTCTGCGCAAAAAAGTATTCTCGTAGCTTCGTAATTTTACAGTTGAACCACTGATGTTACATAGACTATTTTGTCAATCATCTTGGTATTTTTCTGGACCTTGAACGTGGTAGTTACCTTGCTGTCTATGGGAGGGTCAGAGAGCCCTCAGATTTCATCAAAAATATCTTAAATTGTGTTCCGAGATCTTACGGGTTTGGAACAACACGAGGGTGAGTAATTAATGACAGAATTTTCATTTTTTGGGTGAACTAACCCTTGAATGTGATGTTTTCAGACAAATCATTGCACGTTAATTGCAATTAAATGAAAATGTATTATAGTTTCAATGCAATTAGCTGAACTTAGCTGCAACATATTTTTATGTAAATTAATAATTACTTTCAATTACTGAATAATTCATTTGAAATATGATTCAAGTTTATTATGTCAAATAAAGAAAAACAAAGAAACAGTAAGTTCATAAATATAAATATTTAAGATTCTGCATTATTTTTAGTATACTAATCATATATATATATATATATGACATCAAATACTAAAGTTTTTGTAACTTTTTAAATTCTGCTTTTTGCTTAAATTGTTATACTGATAATATTTGTAATGAAATATTTTGTATTAAATTATGTGCAAATTCAATAACTACTTTCCTTCTTGGAGCCAGTGTTGTTTGAGTATATCATTCAGATACTATTATAGTTTTTATTAGTATTTTTAATTATATATTTTTATTTTCATTTTCATTTTAGCTAAAGTTTTAGTCATTTAGTTGTGTTTTTGCCATTTGTATGAGTTTTTTTGTAGTTATACATTTTTATTTTAGTAAAAATTCAACTAAATATAAATGAGAAATATTGTCTTGGCATCTAAATGAGAAAACTTTTTTGTATTTTAATTTTATTTCAGTTAACATTTATTTTATTTCAACTAAAAATATATATTGTTTTAGTTAAGTGTTATCACCCTGTTTGGAGCCTACTGTATATTACAAACAAACACAAACAAACAAATAAATAAATAAAAATAATATTCATAAAGTTTACTTTTCTTCAATTCTGTACTCCCAACAAATATGTTCTGTGAAATATAAAATATACTACATTATGTATTCTACAAAGTATATTCTCATATATTTTTAAAGTGAATAATTTAATAAGTATTGCATGGCCTTATTGTAAGACCCTTTCATACAGTCTCATTATAAAACACATCCTCACAATTCCAGTCTCGCAGAGATCTACAGCAGGAAGAGAGCAATAAATGTGAATGTGTCGCACTCCATGGTCATTGTCATCTTAACCCCGCGCGTTTGCTCCTCAGATTCTCGCTCCCACTTCTAGTCCCGTGCTCTGCATCAAGCCTCATCCCTCATTATAACCCTGATCTGCCAGCTGGCCTTGCTGCAACCCTACCATCCATCCCACATCAGTCATGTTCTCTCTAGCTGAAAATCAGTCAGTCAGACTGTAGATTGCCGTTCTGATTGCTCTAATGCAAGGCCCCATTTATCAAGTTGGCACAAAAAAATAAAAGCTCTACTGTGGTTTTATTGGAAAAGTCAGTGGAGTAATGCCAACTCCTAATGAGGCCTTGCACCATTGGCTCTAGACTTCTGTTTATGACCCATGTCTTCTTTTTATATCTTTGTCTTATGCAGTTTGTTCACATGAAGTGGCAGCTAGTCGTTCAGACACTCACAGGTAATGTATACATGTATACACTTCCAGAACACACAATGCTTTAAGTCAGCATGAAATGAATTTGAATATTATGAAAGTAAATATTCTGATATAATATTGATTTCACACTGACTTTAATACTCTTAAAGGAACAGTTCACCTAGAATTGAACATTTACTCACCCTCAGACCATCCAAGGTGGAGATTTGTAGCATTGCATCACTTGCTCACCAATGGATGCTCTGCAGTGAATGGGTGCCGTCGGAATGGGAGTCCAAACAGCTGATAAAAACATCACAATAATCCACACCACTCCAGTCCGTCAAATAATGTCTTGTGAAGTGAAAAGCTGCGTATTTGTAAGAAACAAATCCATAAATGCATTTTTATCTTCAAACTGTTGCTTCTAGCTAAAATATAAGTCCTTTGTCCATAATACAGCTTTGTCCAGTGAAAAAGTCATCTTGTCTGAATCAGGAGAGAAATATGCACAGATCAAGCACCGTTTACAAGCCAAAACAGCTCTAAAGATATATGTGGGTGGATTTTGGACAACAGGAGATGGACTTTTTCACTGGAGGAAGCGTTATTATGGAATATGGACTTCTATTTTGGCCAGTTAAAACACCTTTATGGATTTGTTTCGTTCAAACACACAGCTTTTCACTTCACAAGACGTTAGATGGACTGGAGTGGTGTGGATTATTGTGATGTTTTTATCAGCTGTTTGGACTCTCATTCTGACGGCACCCATTCACTGCAGGGCATCCATTGGTGAGCAAGTGATGCAACAATTCAAAATGTGTTTCGATGAAGAAACAAACTCATCTACATCTTGGATGGTCTGAGGATGAGTATATTTTCAATTTTGGGTGAAATATTCCTTTAATACCAACCTAACTAGAAAGATTTGATTTGTCCATACTGTGTTTCTTTCTCTTTGTAAACAGGCCTATGCCAGCATGATGAAGGTAGCAAATGATGAACACAAGATGCCAAGTGCACTGGATTGTGTGTGTGTGTGCGTGTGCACAGTAATCTTTTACCATCTATAAATAGTGCTACTTTTTCTAGAGTGTTTTATGTGTCAAAACACACGTGTAATGTGAAAAAATATTTGTGTCCACAGAGGCTGCGTTAACCAAAAAAATGTCCACCATTTGCCGGACTGCAAAAACATTACAAAAAGCATCATTCAAAACGCTTTCCGTCACTTTGACAAAAAAGAAATAATAGGCAAAAGCATATCTGAAATGTTTTCTTGTAAAATGAATCGGGTGTGTCTCAATCGGCTCACTAGTCAGCACACTGTCCAGGGCACTGAACGTTTCTCACTAAAAAATCCCACAATGCACTACATACTATGTACTAATGTTAAATATCACATAAACATTTTAATAACAACAAATGAGATTATTTTGGCATAATGATTTTATTTTATTAAGCTACACTCTAAATTAAACTTTAATGCATTAGTAACTAACATGATAATATCCATACAAAGTAACAAATGAATGTGATTAGCTACTTCAGGTGGCAGTAATGCAGTAATGCAACACATATGTTCTTCCACTCCGAGAACTGATAAATCGAACCTACCGGTTTCATCGGACTAAATGAATGGTCAAAAGACACCATGATAATAACAACAGGCCATATGTATTAGCTGGTTACTTCTTAAAGGGACAGTTCACCCAAAAATGAAATTCTTGTCATCGTTTACTCACCCTGTCGTGAGTAAACCTCTATGAATTTCTTTCTTCTGTTGAACACAAAAGAAGATATTTTGAAGAATGATGTTAAATAAACAGTTGACGGTAGCCATTGACTACATAGTATTTTTTTTTTCCAGTGGCAATCTCTTTAAGGAAACTTGGCTTTGCTTAATATTTTAGAAAAATCATGTTAAAATGTGATCCATCAGGCTTTATTATTCAACTCTTACTCATTTTATTGCATTGCATTATATGTTTTGCTTCCACAATGAAAACTACAGAGCTTTGATCATAAAACTAATAAAACTTTAAATATCATCTTACTAAGACATATTATTGGGAGAGCGACAACTGATATTTATATGCATTTTATGTAAGTAGTCTGCTATACCGCCCATATAAATATCAGCATCTGCACCAAGTAGAATTTTTTTGCATACGTTTTTTTCCCTCCTCTAGTTTGAGCTCCACATTCTCACTATATCATATTATATGAGCCATAAAAGCCTGATGTATCAAATATGATACTCAACAAAAAACATATGCAAAGCCCCCCCCCTTCCTTTTTTGATTTTGTCTTAAGGTTTCTGACTAATATTTCATATGTCAGGCTTTGCAAGGTTATTAAAGATATAAACATTCACCATATTAAGATTATATTAAATACATCTAGGCCTATATAATAATCAGGGAAATTAAAACAATGACCGACAAAGATGACGGAAACTTTACAGTTACTTCAGTGGCGGGGGATTATTTGTAGCGCAGCCTCTGTGTGTCGCAGCTCAATCATCTCTGTGTGCGTCTGAAGCTCAGTCAGGGAGTTTCTCTCTCATCGGCAATGTTTTTATTCATTATTCTGTTAACACTGCTTCATGTTTGCACTTAAAGGGATAGTTCATGTTTATCTGCTTACCCCCAGGGCATCCAAGATGTAGGTGACTTTGTTTCTTCAGTAGAACACAAACGAAGATTTTTAACTCAAACCGTTGCAGTCTGTCAGTCATATAATGGCAGTCAATAGGCTCCACGGCTTTAAGAGAAAAAAAACATACACCGACAAAACCAAATTAAACCCTGCGGCTCGTGACGATACATTGAGGTCTTAAGACACGAAACGATCGGTCTGTGCAAGAAACTGAACAGTATTTATATAATTTTTTTCCTCTGATCCACCGCAATGTCCAACCGTTTTTTTTTTACTCTCAAAGCCGTGGAGCCTATTGACTGCCATTATATGACTGACAGACTGCAACGGTTTGAGTTAAAAATCTTCGTTTGTGTTCTACTGAAGAAACAAAGTCACCTACATCTTGGGTGCCCTGGGGGTAAGCAGATAAACATCACATTTTCATTTTTGTGTGAACTATCCCTTTAAGTTGCATATTACATTTCACTTTAAGTATAAACGTTTGATGCAAATCTTGCAGCTTATGTTCACTAAAACAGTCAGGAAGTCATTCATACTTTTTATTTAGTTTTTGTAAAATAGTGTTCTTGCACTAAAAAATTAAGAGATCCCAGAAAATTTCTTATTCAGATGTTTATCTTTCACAAGCAATTTCTGATAAAAGAGAAAAATGCACCATGACAGTATTTTTCTGTAACGTATGGACTAATCAGAAGCTTGTTTGTTGCAGGTTATTGTAAATATCCGCGTGATATTTGAGCGCTTTTACAATGCAAACGCAGTTGTGACGGACGATGTAATACTCCGTAACACACTACTGTATGTAGCACTCGTGTAATTGTGCATCACTAAAACTGCTTTTAATGTGGTTTATGTCTCCTTTTTTTTCTTTTAAAGGAACACTCCACTATTTTTGAAAATTTTGATATTACGCAGCGCCTGAAAATAGTCCCCAGCACAAGCAGGTGGTCACGTTGGTTATGTTGACGGAAGTTAGCCTATTTTCAAGCGCTGCGTAATATCATTGCGCTTGCTGCACCCATAGTACGGCAGCAAAGTCTCTTGATGCAAATCTTGCAGCTTATGTTCACTAAAACAGTCAGGAAGTCATTCATACTTTTTATTTAGTTTTTGTAAAATAGTGTTCTTGCACTAAAAAATTAAGAGATCCCAGAAAATTTCTTATTCAGATGTTTATCTTTCACAAGCAATTTCTGATAAAAGAGAAAAATGCACCATGACAGTATTTTTCTGTAACGTATGGACTAATCAGAAGCTTGTTTGTTGCAGGTTATTGTAAATATCCGCGTGATATTTGAGCGCTTTTACAATGCAAACGCAGTTGTGACGGACGATGTAATACTCCGTAACACACTACTGTATGTAGCACTCGTGTAATTGTGCATCACTAAAACTGCTTTTAATGTGGTTTATGTCTCCTTTTTTTTCTTTTAAAGGAACACTCCACTATTTTTGAAAATTTTGATATTACGCAGCGCCTGAAAATAGTCCCCAGCACAAGCAGGTGGTCACGTTGGTTATGTTGACGGAAGTTAGCCTATTTTCAAGCGCTGCGTAATATCATTGCGCTTGCTGCACCCATAGTACGGCAGCAAAGTCTCTTGATTATTACGCCAGAATGAGAGTATAGTTCCTAGCCATATCGGCCTACAACATCACAACTTTTCATTTTCCGTCAGTCTTAGTACACGATGTAACTACAGAAGAGTCAAGTTTGAAATAGGAAAAATATAGAAACTATTTGGCGATTTTTGAGCGAGATGCTAACGGTCTAATAAGATTCAATGATCTATGCTAAGCTACAGCTAAAAGTGCTACCGCCAGACCCCGAGATCGGCTGAATGGATTCGAAAACGGTAAAACGCAACTGTTTAACTCTAGGGGAGTTGGAAAATGAGCCTATTTTCAAAAAATAGGGGAGTGTTCCTTTGAGGTCACTCTGATGTAGTTTTTACAATTACAATGCATTTCAAATGTGTTCATGCTTACAAAAAGAAGGGGAAAATGTTCAAGAGTCTGTTCACTTGTCCTCTTACTGGAGCTGTGAGGATATTAATGTTGGCAGTTATTTAGGCTGTGTGTCATACATTTATTTGATGCTCTAGCAATAAGAACAAACATTTTCAATAAATTATTTCTCAGCATTTTAGTGGGTTTTCTGATTAATTAAGCTTTCAGTTGTATGTTATCATTTATCCTTAACAAGTCTTTGAAAAAATAGAGAATATTAATTCAGAATCCCTTTAGCAACAAATATCGTTCATGTGTAACAGTAAAGACTGCTGTTTATTATAATGTTTATATAATATTATAATGACAATGTTTACCATTATGACAAAAAAAGTTGAAATCACGAGATTCAAAATTATGATTTTAATAGTAAAAATTACGGCAAAGCCATTTTATGTCATAATTATGACTCATTTCAATTTGTTATTTTGACAATAATTCTGACTTATGATTTCTGATCTCATAATTTAGACTTTTTATCTTATAAGTGTAACTGTCATTTTGACTTAATTATGCCTTTTTATGCTATAATTGACAAATTTGTCAATTTCGTCTTGCTATAATTATCGACAATTTTGACTAATGATCTCATAATTGACTTTCTCATAATTTTCTACTTGTCATGACTGACATGACGCAATGTCAAGTTTTAAATCTCAACTCTGACTGTCATGATTTTGACTTTTAATCTTTTCAACTTTTATGCCATTGTCAATTTCAAGTTATAACTATGACTTTTTATCTAATTTTGACATTATAGTTATGACTTTTTATCTAATTTCGATGTCAATTTTGACTTTTTTTATCTAATAATTTCCACTTACTGTCTAAATTTGGACTGACATAAATTTGACTTTTTGTCATGATTGTGGTTTGTCACAAAATTTTTAATCTCATAACTACGACTTAGTATGTCATAATTTCAATTTATCTTATAATTGACTTTTTATGTTGTAATAATGATTTACCAAAGCATATGTGGTGGAAATGGGCTTCCATATTTTACTGTGTGTGTGTTTATGCATGTATATTTTTAATTATTTGAATATATACACAAAAAGCACCTGCTGTTTTATTAAAGCTGGTTTAGAATATTTCAACAACAGTTTTGTCAGCGATACATTTTCTTTTCCCACAATGCACCACCAGTGCTTTTGCTGATTCAATATAGAAGAGTCAAGTTTTAAATAGGAAAAATATAGAAACTATTTGGCCATTTTTGAGCGAGATGCTAACGGTCTAATAAGATTCAATGATCTATGCTAAGCTACAGCTAAAAGTGCTACCGCCAGACCCCGAGATCGGCTGAATGGATTCGAAAACGGTAAAACGCAACTGTTTTACTCTAGGGGAGTTGGAAAATGAGCCTATTTTCAAAAAATAGGGGAGTGTTCCTTTGAGGTCACTCTGATGTAGTTTTTACAATTACAATGCATTTCAAATGTGTTCATGCTTACAAAAAGAAGGGGAAAATGTTCAAGAGTCTGTTCACTTGTCCTCTTACTGGAGCTGTGAGGATATTAATGTTGGCAGTTATTTAGGCTGTGTGTCATACATTTATTTGATGCTCTAGCAATAAGAACAAACATTTTCAATAAATTATTTCTCAGCATTTTAGTGGGTTTTCTGATTAATTAAGCTTTCAGTTGTATGTTATCATTTATCCTTAACAAGTCTTTGAAAAAATAGAGAATATTAATTCAGAATCCCTTTAGCAACAAATATCGTTCATGTGTAACAGTAAAGACTGCTGTTTATTATAATGTTTATATAATATTATAATGACAATGTTTACCATTATGACAAAAAAAGTTGAAATCACGAGATTCAAAATTATGATTTTAATAGTAAAAATTACGGCAAAGCCATTTTATGTCATAATTATGACTCATTTCAATTTGTTATTTTGACAATAATTCTGACTTATGATTTCTGATCTCATAATTTAGACTTTTTATCTTATAAGTGTAACTGTCATTTTGACTTAATTATGCCTTTTTATGCTATAATTGACAAATTTGTCAATTTCGTCTTGCTATAATTATCGACAATTTTGACTAATGATCTCATAATT